CCCCACACACACACACACACACACACACACACACACACACACACACACATGTACATCTTCACTTGATCAAGGACGATGTTCTCTTTTATCAAGTTCTCATGTGGGTTTAAATCCTGAATGTTTTTAGTACGTCTGATTGGAAAAACCGTGAATCTTGCAGGCCACTGAACAAACATCTGGTGCATATTGTATGTTTTAATAATAAAAATTCCTAACTTTTGCTCTCTAAATATCTAAACACTCTTAAATCAAGATGCATTTACTTGGAAAAGGAAATTACTAAATTACTTAAGTCTTGGATTCTGAAATTTTCATTAGAATTAAATGAGTTTCTTCTGCCAATGCGTTCAGAAAAAAATCTAAAAATCTATTTGAATTAAGTTTATTTTTCTGATCCCATTAACAGATATTTGTTCTTGTTTCAAGCAAAAACTCACTTCATTTTGATCAGTAATTCAGAAAACAAGACTTCATATCTCAAGTCATTGTACTTCTCCAATAAATGTGTCTTGATTTAAGAATGTTTAGATGCTTGTACTGGAAAACAAGACAGAAAAAGTGTTTAGCACTGCAATCAGTACTGAGTGTGTCAGAAACATGATCATAAAACCACTGAATTAATAATTACACCTCAGTGTCTGGCTTGAACTCCTGCATGAAGACCTGCTGATATCATGATCTTTTCTCAGATGTGTCTGTTATAACGGCCTGTTAACTTCTATTTATAGCACATCATCTGTTACATATAGGTTTTTAAACATGTTATAAATATCTTTAGCGTTCTGCATTCCTCTTGGTTCTCACGTGTTTCTGAAGGACGTGTGACGATGGTTCCCTCAGTCCTGAAGGTTTCTGTGAGCGACGGCTTTTAAAAAGGCTTGAAACGCTCCGACGCTGGAGAGAAATGAGGCTTTATCTGTGCGTTTCTGGATTTAATGGGATTCTGAATCGGATCCATTATTCATGCTTCGGCGGGAGGCTGATTGTTTGTTTTGGTGAGTCTCTGTTCTCATCTGGACAACATCAGCATCACAAACACAGGACTCATAGCTTCTGGTGACTGTGATTATGGGATGTTCTCAGTCAGTTCAGGCACTGTGATGGAGAAACGATGTGAAACGCTCAGATGTAGATGTTTCTGTAGAGCGGCTCTTCAGCAGATCTTTAGTAGGAAACGACTTTATCATCAACCTTTCTTCTCTTTTTGAGCTCCTCTCCTCCCAAACACACAGTGAAACGCACAACAATCAGACCTGTGGTGCAAAACTCTTGTTTTTGTTTTGCATTTTCCCCCCAAATTAACACATGCTTGTCAACTTCAAATAAATAAAAATATTCTTTGATGCAAACAGTCCAGTGGCTTTGGAGTTTCTTTGAAACATGAAATCGACATGAACTCTTTAAAGCACATTTATTCATCGTCGTTCACTTATGTCTCATAAAGCCTAAAAAATGGGTTCATCTTTTAATGTGAACCCTAATCATTTTCTCCCATATAAGCAGAGCAGAAAAGTGTATGTTTCTTTCTTTGAATTTTTGTCGTTTTTCATTACCTAAACATTCTTAAGTTAAGATACTTGAAAATATATCAAAATGAAGTGAGTTTATGCTTTAAACAAGACAAAAAAAAATCTGTCAGTGGGATCAGAAAAATAAAAATAGTTCCCTTTCATGGGAACCTTGAACTGCATCCTCTAGGGGTCGCTATGGGGAACGCCTCGTCGTGACCCGTGTCTGAAGCATACATTGAAAAAACACCAACACGTTGGCCGGCGACAGCCATGACGTCACTACCGGCGCGACTATAGTATAAATAGGCACCGGGAGCACACATCATCCTCTTCTTCATCTTCATTGACTGTTTTGTTTGAAAAGTGCATTTCTGTGGTAAGAGCGATCTCTATTCATATCATTATGGCAAGCACTAGCAAAGCGTTTAGAGGATGTGTGCATCTGTGTTGTCATTGTTTAACATCTGATGACACACACGATCTATGCGTTATTTGTTTGGGCGAAGAGCATGCACGCGATGCCTCCGAGGGGGCAATCGGCGTGCACTGCGAGCGTTTTTTTTTCAAGGAAAAAGCTCCGCTCTCGTTTGTCTCTCTTTTCGAGGAAAGAGGGGCAGCCATCTGCTTCCCGCGATTCAGGATCCGCCGCTGCTGAGGTACGGACGAGAATGAGCTCGTGGGGATCGCATGTGGATCTGGCTGATGAGTTTGAAGAGGGGTTTTCCCTCTCGCGATCGTCGGCTGTGGACGAGAGTGAGCCGCTGGAGGATGATGTTATTTCATTGCTCTGCTGGAAAGCAGGAAAATGTCTGAGGAGGGCAAAAAACTGAGGCTGAGCTTTCCCAATCCTCCTGTCCTGCGTATGATGAGCTTTTGAAAGTTATGGATCGCGCCACGGCAAGGCTTTACTTGCCGTGAAGCGGGTGAAGAAAATTACATTGTGAGGTCATCTATTAAAAAAAAAAAAAAACGATGAACGTTATTTTTCTGGCCATAACCCTTCAGCTCAGGTGAGCCTTCCTTTCTTCCTGTTTTCCATACAGAGATTGAGAAGGAAT